TTTTTTTTTTTTTTTTCAATTGGGCATTGGGACTAGTTGAACAGATTCCGTTGCATGAGAAAATGAATACTATTCAGTTTGTGACATCAGATTTTCCCGCGTTGAAAATTGATTTGCAGTTGTATCTCGACAGATTAGAAATTATTTTACTTGTTTTAGCACTTTAATAATCACAAAGCCCTGTTGCTGGTCAGGGAGACTATGGTTTTGTTGCATCACTTTGTTATTCAGTTTAGCATGTTGTGAAGTAAAGATTCATTACAATAGTAATATCACATTATTCCTGACCACGTGGTATCATGACCCAATAACAAGAAACACAGTGTACCTTGAACGGTGTACTGTACATATGCACATGATTTTGTTAGAAACCCAGATTGGGGCTTTCCAATTATGAAGTTTACTATTGTCAACTAAGCACCTCTGAATTTCTTGTATATGGTGATTTTGTGAAGATAAAAATTAGAACATAGACTCTGTTTGCTTAGGACCTTTTTTTTTTTTTTTGACTATAGGTCCCAAATTGAAGATGGGTATTTAGCACTGTAGTTCTGTCAAACCATGTGCTTATTATGTTCAGAATTTCGATGTTCCTCCGATGTTTAATTTTCTAAGATTCATTAGGCATGCGATTGTCAACACGGAATGCTCCAACAAAAGACTTCAAAGGAATTGTTATATGCCACATTGCATAGGATAAGTTTAGGGTACCCACCAAAAAAATGCGAATCCCTTGGTGAAATTAATCTAGAGCTGTAGATTTTATTTTGATGTGATTTATAGCTATTGATTATAAAAAAAAAAAACTTAACATTAGTCATGATTTTATTGGATAAAAAGTTGATATACGAATTTTTCTGCGCTGTAACCGGATTCAAATAGATTAAGGTGAAGAAAAAACTAAATCCAAGAGATTGGGAATACAAGTCAGAAGAAAAAATCAAGCAGCTAAAAAATCTATGTATGAAATTTGTATATACAAGTTTGTATTTACATAGATTGATCGGTCTCACATTGATAAAACATGAAACAGTTCACATTTATATTACATAGGTACATAATCTGAAGAAGAGGAGGGCAAACATTGTCATGCTTTAACCACAAGTCATTGGTAATTGACAGAGGTCCACCATTATAACTGGATGGACTGATCAGTAAGCCACACCACCGGAAAAAGTATCTCCGTCATGAAGTAGAGACTCTGTCAGCCAATAGCCATCCCAACATCCACCAACCCTCTGCCAATTGAATGCAACTAGTCAATTAGAGTACTCAACAATGCAAAATATCCCCAGAAAACAAAGTATTCTAAGCTGAAAGCCACTCTTTTTTGAAAAGATAAAGGAAAGGGAACTGCTGCTCGAACAATATGCAAATGAAGTTTAATCATGGGTTATCTTGTCACTCGTAACACTGCTTTCTGATTATTGATTTCTAGACTGATAACTAGAGCATATATCTAGGATGCCCCCATTAATTTAATCCATCTAACTGCATGTGAGTAAATAACTCATTACACAGATAGAAACCATGAACACACCTGAACCATAGTAAATTGAAATGTTTCTTCTTCTTCAGGACGAGCCCCTCGTATCCAAACCCGTTGCTTATAGCGATTCTGTTTTAGTTTATACAAATACACTGTACATTAGAAAAGAATCATAAGTAACTGTTATCATAACGCTATTTGAACCTCAAATACATCTCAAGTAAGTAGTAAGTCTCTAACCTCCTTCACATGCAAACTGCTCAGGATTTTCCTTTCCCTGTGACCAAGTAATACTCGATAGGTTGAATGGTGAAAAATTCGCCTGAAGCGTTCAAACTGCATGCAGAGTAGAGAAGCCAAGCAGGAAAAGACATTAGCTTACACAGTACATACAGTAGGACATAGAAGAAGTGAGACTTATTTTTAGAGCTGGTTTTGTTGCACCAAAATGTTTCAACTGACTTTGATTATTGATTTAGGGTAATTCTCTACCCACCATGGACCGTCCAAAAGTTTAACATTAACTGACCTGCCCCAAATCGAAGAATGGCCCAAAATATGTAGACCTTTCAAAAGGATCAAATCCAGCAAACTGGCATTGCATGAAAAGATAACAAATCACCCAATTCTGCACATAAAATAAAGGGAGGTAATAAATAGAAATAAGGTACTATGTAGGAAATTACCCTGTACATCACTTCAATCCCATAATCTTGACGAGGTTGGTCATTAAACATCAATGCATCAAGCTGGTATCTAACAGCTTCTTCTGCACTAAACTACAACAAGAGTTAAACTACATCAATATATTACAAGGAAACAATATTGATGTCCGTTGATCAATCTTTTAGTTAGAAAGTTACACTTAATCTTGGGCCAAAAGGTCTCTTCCTGCGAGATTCAAGCCTGCAATATGAAAACCGTCACCAACTAGTTGAAATGAGAAGGTGTGATGCCTTTAAAAAGCAGAAATTGCAATGCATGAGGCTAATATAGTTGAACACTGCAGCACTAAGCAAGTGGTTAATATGAACCAAACCAGGGAGAAGTATAAACAGCTAAACAAAAAAGTGGTAAAACCCTTAGAACCTAGTTGCTAGCCCATTTATATGTCCTCATTTTAACATTCAAGATTGCACCGACTCTACTCTCTCACCACATCTCATGAATGCACACACAAGAAAAGGGATAGCCCACCACAGTCATGAATAAACAGGGAAACTGAAAGAACAGATGATGCAGTTTAAACTTAAAGCCTATAAAGACAAGGCCTAAAATTGAGAGATCTCAAAAAAGACACTATAATAATTTTTATCTAAGATATGACAGTGAATCGAGATGAATGTTAAAGAAACATAGTGTATTGGACCAAGAAAGTGGATTTAAGGCTTAGTCCAGTCAAGTAGTTTTATTTTGACCATGGAATTGATGTAAATTAATAAAAAAAAAAAACTCTTCTTAAAAGAGAGGCTAACATTTTGAGTCACGGAATCTTATCTTCTTACTAATTGTAGAAAACACTTGGTGAAAAATGACGCTAAAATTCACTTGTATGAGCAAGTCCTAAGTTATAGGTTTGGATTTTGTTAGGGAAAATGGGTATCTTCGTTGTGAGTTGATTTTACCATGATTGCTATGCAGCAACAGTTGTTGGGGTCTTGGGGTTAGCTTTTCTTTTTATCTTCTTCTGTTATTGGGTTGCTCCTGGCTTGTGATGAGTGTTATTACAATCTGTTTTACCTACCACATCAGTGTATAATATATTTTTTACTCAGTACATAGATATTTGTCAAATATTTAAGTTATAATAAGAGTACAATAGAACTGTATTTATCAAACAGATTGGTTGAGTTCATTCCTTAAAACTTCAGTAATTGCCAAAGAGTTTTTCAAGTTTGAAAATTCAGCAACTTATTATTGCAAACACTTGCATTCAACATTCAGTTTTTAGTTCTTAATTTTCAATTTTATCAAACAACATCAAAGTGTTTCTCTAATTATAGCTCTTTTAAAGTGATTAAGTTGCTGATACCACACATCATGATGTCACGCGGCATCAACAACAGCTGAACTGTGAAATTTCTGCGATCGCAGACCATTATTCATTATGTTTTGAAACCCAAACGATTCGCAGAATATGAATCACCACAGAGACAAAGACACAGAGAGAGAGAGATAGCATACCAATCTGCAGAGAGGAAATCGGGAACGTCAGCAGAAGCTCTGAAGCGAGAGATTGCAGCTTTGCAGCCGCTGGAGGGTTTGGAGAAGAGGGATAGAGGCTGTGGAGATGATAAGGAGGAAGAAAACGACATCGTATTCTCGACAATTCCCTCTCTCTCTCCCTCTCTCTGTTGGTTGCGTTGGTGATTGCGGGCGGAGAGCCCGCAAGTGGTGGTCTGAGTAGGATAGGAATGAGGAAATAAGATCTGTGCCGTTCAATGAATAGAGACTACAGAGTACATCATGGGGTGCAATTGCAAATAGGATATTTTTTTTTTTAACTATAATAATTATAGTGTTTGTTATGATTAAAATATTTATTATAATTAAAAGATAAATATGATTGAAATATTAATTTTTGTTAAATGTTCAATCCTGATGGGCAAATTTACTTCCACTAAGAGATCAATAAGTAATTGAAGAGGTCAATCCATAATTTATCCTGACTTTTTTTTCCTTCCTTTTTACCTCTACTAATAACAAATTTATTTTTTTGAGCGTAAATTAATCCAAATATTACTATTTGTGTCGATATGCCCTGTCTATTCAAATTCACGGTTAATTTTGACGGAATTTCCCAGATGCACATCATGTGAGTCGGATATTAGGGTATAATTTAAAGGTCATGTGTTGTGAATGTGAAAAATTCCTTCAAATTAAAGGATAAATTTGGACGGAAGGGTTATATTTGCATAAAGATTATAATTCAGTGGTTAAAATGATGTAAAGTGTAATCAAGGACTTGATTATTACAAATAGTATAGTTCAATGATCAAATAGATAATTAATTTAAAACATCACATCTGTCGATTTAGTGAAAAGTTTATGCAGGCGCAGACACTCTCTTTCCACATCAAAACCGTTTGATTTTTTCCAACATTTTTCTGCACTTTCAAATGTCTACGATCTTTGCTTTTGCATCTGCATTGCTTGAAGATTAATCGGCTGTCCCCAATCATTAACTAATTAGGTAATGGATATTTTACTTGATATTAGTATCAGGGTGGCTCAAGGTAATTTGAAATTTAAAGCGAAAAATATTAAATAAGATCATCTTATTTTTAATATTAATTTTAAAAAATTAATTTATTTTTAATTTTTTTATGTCGTAGAGAAAAGAAGGATGCGCTAGTAGAGATTCTTTTATCTCCGAGAGAGAGAGAGAGAGAGAGAGAGAGAGTTTTGATTTTATTTTTAAATTTTTTTTATTGGAGAGCAAGGAGTGGAATAAATATAAGATGACTTTTAAGTACATTTTTATTTTTTTAACTTTTAATTTTTAAGATTTTAATGTTATGAATTGGATCATGTACCAAAATTATTACAATAAAAATTTCGATTAGACTCATTTTTTGGGGTTTTTTTTTGAGTTTAAATTTAATAGATTGAAAATTTTTTTGTGGACCAATAATATTTCTAAGTTATGAGACCTAAAAATTTGATGCATTTTTTAGGGGAAATTGGAAGCCAGTACAAAGATTTAGATTTAATTGAGTTAAACTACGTTAAAGAAATTTATTTGGCCCTAAGTGCATATGTTTTGAAAAAAGACTAAAATGTCATTTATTACTCTATTACTCTCTCAATCTTTCTTCCTTATTTTCTCTTTATCTCTTTCTCACACATTGATAATTTATTTATTGTCCAAATATGTAAAGTTTTGATTTAATTTTTTCAACTCTTTCCTCTGTTTTTTTTCTCTCTCTCCCCCCTATTTTCTCTTACCATTACTCTTTCTCTTCTTATTTTCTCTCTCCTTATATCAATGTTACAACATCACAGTTACACCAATTAATTACCCTATAATACACCAAATAATTACTCATGTGTTCTAATAAACCAAATAATTATATTAAATATTTACTCGAAATTAAAATATCAATCCAATTTGTCATTCAATTGTTTACATAAACTAAATAGTTATACTATTTAGTATAATAACATGGTTACACCAATTAGATACACCAAATTGAGTTTATCATTACACAAAAAATTTTATCATTATACCAAATTTAGTGTATATAATTAATGTAACCATGTCGTGATACTAAATGGTGCAATTTTTTGATTTATGTAAATAACTAAATCACAAATTGAATTGATATCATAATTTTGTGTAATTGTTTGGTGTAATTGTTTAGTTTATTAGAACACATAAGTTTGGTGTATTATATGGTAATTGTAATTGATTTGTGTAATTGTATTGTTATAACATTGATGTAAAAAAAGAGAGAGAAAATAAGGAAAGAGGGCATTGGTGAGAGAAAATAGGGGAGAGAGTGAGAGAAAGAAAATATGGGAGAGAGATAAAAAAATTAAATCAAATTATTACATATTTGAAAAGAAAATAAATTATCAATGAGAGATAGTGAGAGAAAAAATAAGGAAGAGTAACAGAGAAAGAGAGAGATTGAGAGAAAATAGGGAAGAGATAATGAGAGAGTAATAGAAAGAGAGGAGGGAAAGAGATGGAGAGAATTAAAATTATGTATAATTTAAGGAAGGGTAAGTAAGTAAAAAAATTCAAATTTGAATTTTGTACCTAATCACAAGATATTTTATTAAAATTGAACTTAATAGAATAAAATACGTATACATACACCTCCTCTCAAATAAGTCTAAAAAATTGTACCCACACTCAAAATATCCTATTTTTTGAATTGTTGGACCGGCCCTGATTGTACCCGGATCTTAGATTTCCATTTCCCTTCTGTTTTCTCAAGAAAGCTTTAAGAAATTTTTTGTCATGATTTGAGAGAACTAGTTTTTTAATCACCTGAGTTGTTTGATAATTGATACATCAGTTTCAATCCAATCCAAATCCTCAAACTGCTTGAATCCAAACCAAACACACCCTTGATCCCACCATCTTCGTCGCGAATGCTTCCTGATTTCAAACAATCTATCAAATTGAAATATGTGAAATTAGGATATCATCGTCTCCTTTCTCATGGAATGTACCTTTTTTTTATCCCCTCTCATTGTTGTAATTGTGGTTCAACTTTTCACATTTTCTCTCCGCGACATGGTTCATGTTGCGGTATCAATCATCGACTCAAAAAAGTCAAATATGTTAATCACAACACGGTATTAGAGAATGTAGCCTAAAATAAAATGTTGAATATGACAAGAGATTCAAGTCATATATCAGTGTTGTGTAATCGTATTAAACGATTCGATGACTATAATTCTACGACTCAGAATTGATTTAGGAACAACTCGAGTTTTGGAGTTTATACGTATCGTGTATTGATATTGTCTTGGAAGGTGCCGATTCGGATACAAGTCGACCGTATTTGACTCAACTAACTTATATCAGTATCGCATCGATGATATTAAGGTTGTACTAACAATATTTATTTATTAGTTAAATATAAGGGCAAATTAACTTATCATGTTATTGGCAAATTTCATTTTAACATCTATAATAAAATCTATAGAGTATAAGTTAAGAAAATAGTTTTTTAACATGTTGAGAAGATGAGACTTATATTTTTTTAGTATTTAACTATTAAATATTCTTATTCATATGATTACTATGTAAGTATTATGTAATTCAGATAGACTAGCATATGCTATATTTGCTCATATTTGATATGAGCTGACTCGTTCAAGTCACTAGTGTAATGACAGTGAAACAGTTGTGTGGATGTTTGTTAGAGAACAAATACACTGAACGTGACTATTGACTAACGTAAAAATTTTCATATAGAATTTTACATACCTATCAGTGTTAAATCATAAAGTTGTAGTTATGCAATTGATTCTTAATATAGGAGACAAATGGGTGAGTTGTGTTAGTTACGACTTGGTTTAAAATGGGTTGGTGCAAAATAAAGTGTCATTTAGTGGCCGGTACCTTTTTGTAGATTTTTTTGGACTTAAGTCCACTTAAAAAACTTGTTTGAGAATTAGTGCATTTTGATCTTTATTGTCCAAAATATCCTTAATAGTTATATTTAATTAAAACTTGTTTGAAAAACCTAACAGCTCATAAATTGGGATTCGTATTAGTATTAACAACTCATAATTTGGGAATTGTAGCATTAAAATTAATTTTCTATTATCTATCTATATATATAGTAATATTAAACAATAACATGCTCAAAAAAAAAATAGTAACATCAAAAAGTGACATGTTTAATAAAAAAATTAATTAAAAAATTAATCATTTCAATAGAGTGACACCAAATAATGAATACTTATTTTATTGTGGGCAAGACAACAGTTGTAAGTACTCATATATGAAGTCACTCTATTGTAATGATTAAATTTTTAATTTAGTTTTTTATTGAGCATGTTACTGTTTGATGTTACTATTTTTTTGTAGAGCATATTACTGTTTAATGTTACTGATAGAAAAATAATTTTATGCTAGCACAATTCCCAAGTTAAGAGTTGTTATATTTAAAAATAGTGAAACTAACAATGATTGACAATATTTATGGTAGGAATAATTAAGTAATATATATAAAAAATAATTTGAAGTGTGTTCTTAGTTACGATAATTTAATGAAAAAAAGGACTTAATAGAGTATAAGTCTGATTTTGGTATTTAAAGCCAAATAAGTTTTACAAAAAGTACCCACGACCAAATATCTGTAAAATAAATCCTATCCGTTTTCAACTGACTTAATAAATGAATTATAATAGATTGGATCATAACGAGTTTAGTTAAGTCTATTAATTAATTTGTATAATTAAAACTTTTAGTATAGACACACACTAATACACCAAATAAAACATGCTAATGTACACACTAATACATTGGGGTTGAAGTCAAGTCTAGGGTCTGGGTGTGCAAGGATACTTGGTATGACATTGTAACAATCTGCTTCTCCTACTCTTGTATCCCGAGCAATCCATTTTTTATTCATTCATAGTGTTGGAATATTTGTGGCTTATATTTACTGAGTGTATAATGACAAGGAGGTATAATGGCAATGAGGTAGATATCGGAGTGAGATTGATATATTTTATGTATAGAGGGATGCTGATTAGTTGGGGGTGCGGGGCCAACGCCCCCGCGGTACGATACAGGGATAATTTGTAAATACGTCCGTATTAGGGTTATATAAATATTTAAGATGTAACCCTATTTTGAATAATAAAAAGAACGGTCGCTTGCTCCTGTGGATGTAGGCACATTGTCGAACCACGTAAATCTCTGTGTTATTTTCTCTTGTTTTCTTAATTATTTGATTTTTTATTATTCACCATAATTACTACACGATCACAGCACATAGTGATCAGCACATAGTGATCAAAAGCTGACCTTAAATTTTCATATCTTAACAGTAAAACCCAGAAGCCCATGACCAAGTACCTCCTTCAGTCTTTCTCCGATTACAAGGTCTACGATTTGAAAGAGAGTTCAATTTCCTACTGCACTTAGATGAAGCTGTCGCAGGCAAATAAATTAGATGATTATTTTCTCGAAAGGTAAATAAAAGCCTTTGATTTGCAAATAGTGCAGTGATTACACCCTTTATCATAAATTGATGAAGGTCATACAGTACTTTCATGCTTGAATTTTCATGTACAATAACTTACTCATCTTAACCACTTTGCATTCTGTAGAAATTATCCAAGCTTTACATATAGTCGAATCTACTAAATGTATCGTATTCCAGGGAGGATATCAGGTAAGAGAATTTCTGTAATATGGCGATAGGCCTCCTGTGTCAAATGTATTCCATCCCAGCTTATGTATTGAGTCGGGTTACGACAAACAGGCACACCGCGAGACCCACATTCTCTATTATGATCATAGTTATATAGCCCTCCAATTCCACAACATGATTTTAATAGCGATTTTTCGTCGAACCCTACATACACATGGATTACAATTCCATAATTCGTCATTTAAGAGCATAAATCACATGAACATGTTGATTTTGCCTTTTTTTTTTGAACTACTCACCGAAATCAGCTGCACCATAAAGAATTGTTTTGTAAGCTGTGTAGTAGTCAGCATAAATTATATCAGCGTGAGAAAATTCTTGCCTGAGCAAAGATAAAGACTCTTGAAGATAGTTGTTCTGAACCAATGCTAGCTCATTTAATTCTTTTGAGCATCCCATATCGTCATAGGCTGTCTCATTACCACCAGAGACTACTGTCAGGCCAACCGGTAAGCATCCTATTGGAACATTTCCGGGAACAACAATATTCACAGCACCAAGGTGTATCACTTCCTGCACAACATGATAATGACACCAAAGTGAATTATGGTACATAATAACTACATTACCTGGATTGTAGGAATAGTTTATGTGTGTGCAAAGTAAAATTGTGTACATTTAACCTTTCCAAAACTCCATAGTAACCGGAGTCCCATGTATTGAGCTGCCTAATAACTTCTATAGGCAAAGGTTGGAAATAACTAAACTCTGATAATAATCATATAGAAACTTACTCTAATAGCATTAGTAATGGCCTCTATGGTATATGGCAGATAAGTGTAAATCTCTTGAATGGATTTGCCTTGTATGAGAGGATGGTTAACGTCATTGCCTCCAATCTCACCCACAAAGACAAGAGCCTTGCTAAGCACCTCTTTACATTCTGAATTAACATAAAGGAAAAAATTCAGACAATTTGAGTTATAGGATTTTCCATGGTATCAAAAGTAATTTCTTGATGCTGCATAGAAAGTCACATTCCAATGGGGTTTTTATTCCTGAAATCATCGTAGTTTTGATGATACAACTTTTCAATGTAAAAGCATAAATAAATCTTTTTTTTTNTCATAGTTATATAGCCCTCCAATTCCACAACATGATTTTAATAGCGATTTTTCGTCGAACCCTACATACACATGGATTACAATTCCATAATTCGTCATTTAAGAGCATAAATCACATGAACATGTTGATTTTGCCTTTTTTTTTTGAACTACTCACCGAAATCAGCTGCACCATAAAGAATTGTTTTGTAAGCTGTGTAGTAGTCAGCATAAATTATATCAGCGTGAGAAAATTCTTGCCTGAGCAAAGATAAAGACTCTTGAAGATAGTTGTTCTGAACCAATGCTAGCTCATTTAATTCTTTTGAGCATCCCATATCGTCATAGGCTGTCTCATTACCACCAGAGACTACTGTCAGGCCAACCGGTAAGCATCCTATTGGAACATTTCCGGGAACAACAATATTCACAGCACCAAGGTGTATCACTTCCTGCACAACATGATAATGACACCAAAGTGAATTATGGTACATAATAACTACATTACCTGGATTGTAGGAATAGTTTATGTGTGTGCAAAGTAAAATTGTGTACATTTAACCTTTCCAAAACTCCATAGTAACCGGAGTCCCATGTATTGAGCTGCCTAATAACTTCTATAGGCAAAGGTTGGAAATAACTAAACTTTGATAATAATCATATAGAAACTTACTCTAATAGCATTAGTAATGGCCTCTATGGTATATGGCAGATAAGTGTAAATCTCTTGAATGGATTTGCCTTGTATGAGAGGATGGTTAACGTCATTGCCTCCAATCTCACCCACAAAGACAAGAGCCTTGCTAAGCACCTCTTTACATTCTGAATTAACATAAAGGAAAAAATTCAGACAATTTGAGTTATAGGATTTTCCATGGTATCAAAAGTAATTTCTTGATGCTGCATAGAAAGTCACATTCCAATGGGGTTTTTATTCCTGAAATCATCGTAGTTTTGATGATACAACTTTTCAATGTAAAAGCATAAATAAATCTTTTTTTTTTATTGAAAGCGTACTTTCCAGCATTTATATTAAAGAGCGTAGATAAACAACCACAGTTTCTCTGAAAGATACGATGATTTAGATATAAGTCACAGCACTTGGGGAATGAAGTTTTAAAACAATCGTGGAATAGCAACAAACTATACAAACCTGCTGGTGTAAGGCAGATGGTGTTGAGGTGGGATTTAAACCAATTAAGCTGATCGCCCAAGGAAATATTAGTGGATGGATTATAAACGCCCTTTGTGGTGAAGAAAGTATAGTCCAATGCTGTACTTCCGGCTACTGCAAAGTTGGCACCGTGATCGAATGTGGCGTTGCTATCGAGATAAGGATTAAGCAATGGGAGAGAAAGAGCAATGGCTGTCAATCATTAGCCACATAAAAATAAATTTAGCCATGTTTATTGTTCTACTAAAACACAGACACACACACACAAATAGAGGCAGACCCATGATTTTATGGTGAGGGGACTAAATAATGGTGCAATTTGAAATTTATTTAATGAGGTCATTCAAGAAGTCATCTCAAATTTATATAATAAAGTACTCTCTCCGTTCTAAAATATCTGTCGTTTAAAATTTTTGCACAGGGATTAAAAAAACTATTAAATAACTCTAATATGAGTAAAAAATAATTACATAAGTCTAAAATACCCTTATTCAATACATATTGGGAAGGAAAGGAATATGAAAAATACTTAGTCTATGCTTAATCTATTAAGCACTTATTGGAAAATAGAGATAAAGATAAATTTGGAAGTAAAAATATTTATTATGCTTTGGTTTCATAAAACGACAGATATTATGAAACAAAAAAAATTGTGTAAAACGACAGATATTTAGGAACGGAGGGAATACAATACAATTTAAATTTCAAAAGATAAACAAAATAATTTTTATTTTTCGTGGTTGAAATCTCTTTAAATTTTACTTTAAAATTAATCCGATTTTTATATTAACATCTCAAATTCAGTAGAAAAAATAGGTTCCTAAGAGTGTGTTAATGACAAATTTTTAAAAATGTTTCTAAAACTTATAACTTCTCACAAATACATTTTTGTTTTAAAAAAATAGNAGGTTCCTAAGAGTGTGTTAATGACAAATTTTTAAAAATGTTTCTAAAACTTATAACTTCTCACAAATACATTTTTGTTTTAAAAAAATAGTGTTTAAAACCCCTGCCATCACCAATACCACCACCATCGCCACCCCACCACCACCATCACTATTACCACCGCCCCCACCACCCTAGCACCACCATCGCCAGGACCACCACCCCCACCGATCCACCACAATCACCATTACAATTACCACTACCACCACCATCCCACCACCACCTCTGCCACAACAACCCCCACCACTGCCCCACCCCCACCACCATTGCTGCTACCATCATTGTTGCCACCCAGTACCACCACCCCCTTTACCGCCCCCAGAACCATTTTCCCAACTACAACCACCACCATCACTATCGTAGCTGCCACCGCTACTGCCACCCTACCACCACGGTCGCTATCCCACCATCACCTCACCACCCTACCCCCACGACCATCACCACTACCACGACCACCGCCACTACCACCACCCTCACCATCGCCACCCACCACTGATTGTTCACACTGTTATCCACCGCCATCACTCACGATCATCGGCATCTCATTTTTATATTTATTACCACTACCATCATCATGTCTCTGTAACTGTTGCTTGTTGTCAGCACCCACTACCACTATTGTTGCTCATCACCAACCATCGCCACCCACTGCCACAACTCACCACCACCCATTGCAGCCCACCATCATCGTTCGTCAGTGTCACCCACCCCCACTGTAGCCGCCATTCGCCATTACTCATCACACTATTGCCCAGAAACGTCCGTCGTCGCCCACCACCACTATCGTCACCGCCCACCACCGTCGTCGCTCCACTATCATCATTGTCAACTATCATCATCGTCGCCCACCATCACCTACACCCACCACCACCAACGTTGTCACCCATGGTTGTCGTTACCACCATCGTCACCCAAAACCCACCATCACCATCACCTTTGAAATCCACAACTGCAACCACCACCATGATTGTCATCACCCACCATAACCGTCAGCGTCTCCCTCCACCACCACCACTATCACCTACCATCAATACTATCACTCACCTCTACTAAAATTAGTACTTAAATTCATTTCTGTCTCCTCTATATTTGTGATTTAATATTGGGTGCTTGTGAAGAATTTGTCTTCTTAAGGTCAAGAGTTCAAACCCCCTCCCCCTCCCTATCTCTCCCCCCCTCCCCAAAAAAAAAGAAAAAATCAGAAAATCTGGATGCCACACATACGAAAACAGATAGGTTTTTTTTTTCCTTCCAAACAATGATGCGAAAGGAATATGAAAATCCACCACATAAAACACTGAACTGCAAATGAAAAGGCTTTAAGCTGTTTAAAGGGATAGGAAAACAAAGTCCATTGTCAAGGCTCCGGTTAAAAAGAAATGGCAAAGAAGAAAGACAAGAATAAACCTACTTACCTTGCAAATATACATATATATACATACATTAGTCATTGCTTGCGCTTGAAGGCACGATATAACATAAAGTCTAAACGTTTAAAAAAATGATACTACTATATCAATTAATAATTTTTCTTTCATTTTATTTTTTAATTACATAATTTAAAATTATTTTTTGTCAATTATTATTTTAAAAGAATAGACAAAATTTTCTCAAAACACATGACCTCAAAAAATATTAACATGTGTACACCATCGTATATGAACAATATATGAAATAAAATTTGTATTAAGCCATAAATTGATACAAAATTAAATAATTTAACTAGTAATAAAAATGTAAGATGTAATAGAAATGAGCAAAAAAAATATCTACGGATCATAATTGAGCTTCTAACTCATTATATAGTAGTGATAACTCCGTGCTTGAACGCAAATTGAAAAATCAAATATTGATTCTTCAATATTTATATTTTAAATAGCTATTTGATTTTTTTTAATTACGCAACATAAAATTAAAATGAAGAGAGAAAAAAAAAGTAGGTGTAGATTGATAAGATTGTTTGACATTGACGAGTGTGTTGTAGTATTGATTAAGTTGTCTGGTACTAGGAGTCTTGTAGAAAAGATGATGTTTTAAAACCTAATACGTGGACACACACACACACACACACACATATTTCTAAGTGACATGTAATGCATTCTTTTTTTTTTAATAGTTAAAATGTAAATGAGTTGTTAAAATATTTATTGTTGTTAAAATCACTTTCCGAAAAAAATATTTATTTTGTTAAAATTTGTCCAGTGATTAAAGTATAAATATAGTTAAATATTTACAGGGTTTAAATGTAAATTGCAAGTTAATTGTTGGACCATAGTTTTAATTGATGTAAGTCTTTGTTGTCTTTTTTACCATATTTAAAATGTAAATGAATGGTAAAAATATTTATTCTGGTTAAAAATGCGCGAGTGATTAATATGTGAGTTTTTAAAAATATTTATTGTGGTTAAAATATAAGTATAGTTTAAATGTTTATAGTAGTCATAATATAAATATAGTTAAAATATTTTGTGCAATTAACATATTTAGTGTTATTAAAAAATAAATTGTAAAATTAACTACTAGATCAATTTAAGTTGATGTACTATAAGTTTTAGAAAGTTTATACAGATAGTCTATTGGCTAACAGATGTGTAGAATGCCGACTGAGATGTTGCATGGTCGTTGTAGATGTTGACCCAAGTGGTTGAGCTAGTTTGGTGGTCGGTCCACCTAGTTATTTTTCCTACTTTTCAATCCCTCATTCATCGTACCAAAGAAAATGACGGATCCAAGCAAACAAAAAAAAAAAAAAAAGAATGAAGGAAAATAAGAGGATGAAAAGTTCATCTTCTCATGTTTTATCATTCTTCTTATTTTTCATCCTCTTATCAAATGAACCATAATAATAGGTTTCACATGAGTGTGAAAGGTCATTCAAGCGCGCAAGATTTACAGCTCGTTACATTTTTTGGAAGAAAGTATGCATAAAAAATATATTTACAAAACACACATGTTCGAATTGACTTTACCATTGTGTTTTAAAAGCATGTTTCATTAACACATATTTACGTAAAAACGTGTTTATTAAACACACTTTCAAAAAAGTGTCGTAATTCAATAAATAAGTTCACAACAATGGTAAAGTGATAAAAATATTTTCTAAAATATGATAGATGTGTAATTAACTCTTGGTCCCCACATCTATTAAAAACCCAAGAAATCTTATCATATTAACTTTGTATAATTTATCAAACGAACCATAATAAAAAGTTTCACATGAGTGTGAAAGGTCATTCAAACGCGCAAGGTTTACAGCTCGTTACATTTTTTGGAAGAAAGTATGCATAAAAAACATGTTTACAAAACACACGTATTCGAATTTACTTTACCATTGTCTTTTAAAAGCATGTTTCATTAACACATATTTACGTAAAAACGTGTTTATTAAACACACTTTCAAAAAAGTGTCGTAATTCAATAAATAAGTTCACAACAATGGTAAAGTGATAAAAATATTTTCTAAAATATGATAGATGTGTAATTAACTCTTGGTCCCCACATCTATTAAAAACCCAAGAAATCTTATCATATTAACTTTGTATAATTTATCAAACGAACCATAATAAAAAGTTTCACATGAGTGTGAAAGGTCATTCAAACGCGCAAGGTTTACAGCTCGTTACATTTTTTGGAAGAAAGTATGCATAAAAAACATGTTTACAAAACACACGTATTCGAATTTACTTTACCATTGTCTTTTAAAAGCATGTTTCATTAACACATTTTTACGTAAAAATGTGTTTATTAAACACACTTTCAAAAAAGTGTCGTAATTCGATAAATAAGATCAAAACAATGGTAAAGTGATAAAAATATTTTCTAAAATATGATAGATCTGTAATTAACTCTTGGTCCACCGCATCAACTAAAAACCCAAGAAATCTTATCATATTAACTTTATATTTTTGTTTTAATAGAAAATTGATTCAATCTACATTTTTTCTAGACTTAGTAGCTATAACTTCATTAAGAGATTATAAAATTATATGAAATGGGGTATAATTTTGCTGAATAAATTATATTATGCACCTTGAAAGATGCTTGCATTCTCATTTCACAAATTAAANAATTATATGAAAATGGGTTATAATTTTGCTGAATAAATTATATTATGCACCTTGAAAGATGCTTGCATTCTCATTTCACAAATTAAAAAATTGAAATTGTGATATTAGATCCGCAATCAAACAAAAAGATAACAGTGTACTCTATTTTAAGAAGGTTCGGTACAAAATTGCTATTAAAAA